TTTGGTGGTTGGTGAAAGTATGACGATAATGGAGAGGGAAGATTGTGGTGGGGTGGGGTCAATTGACAGGATGGAAAAGTAAAAACTGACTCAGGGCTCTCTCAGGTGAGTTTGAGTTTACGAGTCCGAGTGTAGGGTAGTCTCTTTGTCAAGTCACGCCCACCTTTCGGTGGATAGGCGGTCTTCGGCATACCCTTTGCACTTAGGTAAGGCACAAGTCTAACGAAGCGTGAAGCGGAGCAAAGACGGGGATCTTTAATTGACCAATCATATAATAAGGATTCCTTAGCGTTGTCCTCGACCTGCCCGACAGGACGGCTGCGGCGGCCTGAGGCAAGGAGTACGAGGTACTTAGTGGTCGGTTGGCTGCGAGGCGCCAAGACACAAAGAGTTCGACGAACGACGGGACTTGCAAGGAAATAGGAGAGGGAGGCATTTCGTAGGTTGGTTTTCGAGCGATCTACAGCCTAAGTCTTACCATGACTTCATGGCGGAGAGGACATGAGCAGGGTAGATCAAGGAATATAGAGGCAGACTTTGAGCTTGAAGAACAAACGTAGTCACATACTTGACTTACAGTACAAGGTGACCAGCAACTGCAACACCGCAGGTCAAGCAAATCCATCGAACGATGTTGAACAGGGAATTAACCCGGTCACTGCTGTGATCAAGAGAAGAAGAAGCTTGGGCAAGGTCTAGGCGTAAGTGGAGAGCATCCATGTTAGCGGCAGACGCTTGTCGCAGCTGGCGCCGCAAGGGGCAGAGCTAGAGATGCATCATTGGATGATCCACCTCGTGGCATGCAGCTCTGTAGTGACATTCAACCGTTCTCTTCCCTTCAGTCAGGTCAGTGTAGGGTAAATCCACATGGTGATCCTCGAAAGATTGGATGATCAGGAGGCGACTCCTGCATTTTAAGGATGACGCAGCAGCAGCACGCTGAGGTACTGGAATTTTTAGTGGTGGATAATAAATGGATGCTCTGTAAGTCGTGTAAGAGAATTGGATGGAGGTTGGTGGTGGGATCTGACCCGATCTGGTTCAGGGGGTTGAGTAGCCCGAGAGGCATTGAGTGAGGTGAGGTGGTCAAAGTTCCATTTGCAAGGGTAGGATATCGCAATCGAGTGTCGGTAATCAAGATCAATGGCATAGTGAACATGGGATTCTGACAAATAAAGCAAAACTCAGACTTCGTATTGCTGCGTAACATTACTTGTTCTCGCTCACTTACAGAGAGAGTCCACGGCTAATTGCAAATCATGAGAGAAATAAAACCTCAGCCGGCGATAGCGGACTGAAACAAACCCACTGTATCATGGCTGAAAGAGAGACGATGAAATAGAAATATCGCTATTGGCTGTCGAGACCAATACTGTACCTTATTGAAGAGCGTAGTGTCACGTAACTTACACATCGTTTGCTAGCCTTGGACTCGGCCTCAGGCACAGTTATTACCGTCAATTTTAGGAAATAGGTCACTTGTTGAATTGCCATGGGCGACGGGTGAATGGAGTCGATTGAAGGAGCCAGACCAGGGGTTCAAGATTCAAAGAGGGCCTCGCCGCAGTTTTCGGGAGTCTCTTTGATGATTCGGCCCACTCGTCATCTCCATCGACTTCAATATGGGTACTCTGCACTCTCTGTTACCGAGGACAAGCTTAGAAATTGCACCGGGCCTCTTTTCCGATTATTGACGTTTGTTATGCATTGATTGATTGTCTCGTACAGCATAAGCGTGTCGAGAGAGAATGCGGTGTAAGAATATGGTTGCACAGAGGAAACATGTATGCAGCCTGCTGCAGTCTGATGCAGTTGCAGATGCGGTGTGATCTGTAGGGAAAAAAGGTCGCGTCCAGGGAATCTTGACACGCAGTTCAACTAAGCCATGTAATGCCTGTCAATACCTGAGCTCAAATCCACGGTCATTCTCGGGCGTTCCCCAAAAAAAGATTTCAGGGTCCTCCGAGAACGCACTAAGTAACTAACATCGACCCGAAGTGGCCCGGGTCAAAAAAACCGCGGATGAGGCGGAAAAACAAGAGTCCATCATCCATCATCATCCATATGAGGCGAGGCTATTAGTGAGAGGCTGTCAGAGTGGTCCAATTACAGTCGCGGCCGTCCAACTTGGCCAAAAGCAGAAAAGAAACAGAAGACGTTGACGAGTCAAGATGGCTAAACTGTACAGAGTAAGTCGATGATTAAGGTCTCCGAGCCAATGCTTTTTGCCTGCTTGGTTGCGTAAGTTCCGTTGCCTCTTGGTGCGTAGGACATCATCGATGTAATAATCGTTGATTATTGGTACGGCTGCTGGTTGCCTGCTCAAGAGTCATCTTTCTCTCCAGTTGCATACCAACCAACACTTTATGCTTACAGAAACCCTCCCTCACATCCAAAATACCAATACCACCCAAGCAAAAGCAACGAGAAAAAAGTGTTGTCAGTCGTTTTTCACGTTTGGGTCTTGCGGCTGGAGACGTGAATTACAAGGATGCTCCCAGATACCCACAGGCTTGACCCACCGATCTTTAGCGCGATCCACTTCTCGGCAGCCATGCACGCCAGTCTTGACCAATCCCGTTTGGCTGAAACGAAAAAAAAAAAAAAGAAAAAAGTTCGAGCTCTCGTGCTCTTTCCGCTGCGTCTGCGTCTGCACAGCCAAAAAAAGTGTGGCAGACCCAGCACCAAGCGCCATTCTTTCCCGTCATCCTAAGGATAATCGCTCCTTCTTTTGTAAGTGAAGTCAGTCTCCGGGCTTGTGATGGAGACAAGCATCTTGCCTCCGGACCTATCAGCTTACAAGAATTGAATCATTGAAAAGTCCCTTCTGAGCTAGCTCCCCGTTTCTGCCTTCCCCAGCACCACTTGCAGTCCCTCTTCGCCCACCTTTGCCCCCCATCTAATCCCCTTCCTCGTGGTTGCCATCGTTGCTCCCTTGCTCTTGCCTTGCTCTTGCCTGCGTCTTCTTTGCTCCTTCCTGCTCTGTGTCGTCAACATCCGTAGACCGCCTCCACCCTCGGCTTCAACTCTCCAGTCTAAATCCACTCATCAATAACAAACACTCCCACCCCCCTTCGACAATCCTCCTCTTGCTATCTGTCTCTCCTCCTTCATCATCTTCCATACTGCCTGTGCACATAAACTACATCACCGTTGCCGTGCCCTCGCTAGATCAATCAATACAGTAAACCCTTATAGATCTCTTCGATCTGTTTCAACACTTTGAGGTTACTACGTACAATTGCTCAGCGAAGTTCTGGTGACCTTGACCTTTCTCTCCCAAGTCGACAGTCCATCATCTTGTAGACAGCTCGTCTCCAAAATTGTCCCTCGTCTCGCTTCAACACAATCGCCATGCCTTACAACACGCGCCGAAAGTCGCTTTCTTTACCCAGTCTCGGGATTCACGTCCCAATGACACATGCTGCTCGAGCTGCTGCTGCTGCTTCCAAGAACGCTTCAAGATCATCCTCTTCGTCTTCATCCAGTGCTGCCTCATCCGCCTTGTCACCGCCCCCATCTGGCTCCGAGGCCCCCGAAGCGCATCCCAATAAGCGACAGAAGCAATCGCATTCCGACGACATTACCATTGAGCAGACACCTCCTCCTTCACCTACACCAGGCTCGAGCCTCGACCTCGATACAAATCAATCCACGATTGACTTCGAGACGATCAACGACGACATTGTCGAGGCAGTTGTTGTTCAATTGCAGTCAACTGGAAACCGTCCTCACCTCGTCAAGGAGCTGGCTACCGTTCTGGCACAACGTCTTACCTCTGTTCAACAGTAAGTTTGAGCCACCTGCTATCCCCTCCCAACCCCTCAGCCTCCCGTGTGCTAACATTCCAATCCCAGTTCTGCCAACCCTTGCGCAATCATCTCCTCAAGGCTGGCCTCATATGCTAAGCGGCAATGCTGGAGTGACACAAAACCATGCCCCCTCGCTAAGGAACTTGAGAGCGTCCACCCTCGAAGGACCTATTATTTCCTCACCACCTGCCCTCGTCAGCCCATTCCCGAACCCAACTCCACAGTGTCTGCTCATGCCGCCCTCGAAACTCCTTCGGTGTCTCTGACGGATGATTCCGGCTCCGATGACGATGCTCGCAGGCGGGAGCTCAGCCCATCGCCCGAGGTTGACCTTTCTGACCATGGATTCGAGGAAGGTGACGACGATGTTATCATGCCTCTTACCCCCATCGGCTCTCTTCCCTCTCATCACCGTTATGTGCCAAACCGTCGCAACAGCCGTCACAACTCACCGCCTCTGGAAAAAGATGAGCGTGAGTTTACACAAACGGCCGACTTCTTGCAGAAACGCAAGTTCGTCGAGGATACCCCTGTTGCTGAGTCTGCCGATCGCACCACCCACACTTCAGAGTATGGATACCGCGACGACTTCTGGTTCGGCGAGCACCGCATTTTCACCTCAAATGCCCCCCTTACCAGTCCTGCGGTAAAGCCCAGCTCCATGTCACACATGGCGTCAGGTGTGCGAAAAGAGGACGACGGTGAGAGCTGGTTAAAGTTCAGCAAGCTTATGGAATGGGACCGAGGCGCTGAGAGCATCGAAATTGATGAGCTTGATTGCTTACTCGATACGTGCTGAGCAATTACGACTTCTCTGGGCAGGCGTAAGGGATCAGGGAGAGACGATTGAGATGATTTGATTCCGCCATGTCTGCGACGACGGATATACGACATACTTACATACTAATTGCATGGAGGGGCGCCTGTGGAAGTACCTGTATATTTAGACAAGTTTGGTGTTTTGGTTTGACTGGGTTTAGGACTGGGATTGGGATACCTGGAAAAGGGATCATAGCGTCCCATGGTTTTGGTTATTCGGCGTTAAAAAGGATGCGGAAGCTGGGATTCTAAAAATGCAATGCCGCTCATAGTGCTTCGACTCTTTGAATATTGTACATAACCCTATATTCTACAACCCATCTCATTCTTTTCATTTCAATCGGTTTCAGTATGTGATGCCTTGAGTCGTCATGAGGCTTTGTCGTTGACCTTCAACTCAACCCAAACCAGTGTGCCCATTTGCATTATATTCGGTCGCTCGACCTTTAAGATTTCAAGGCCTGGTGTTTTAGTGACTGCCTCTTCGACTAGGCCTTCAATGTCGCGATTCCACCAACATCCGTATTTTTCGAAATGTTTCCCAGCATTCTTATCGAGTAGACCATTGACGATACCATACCAACCCTTGCCGTGTTCGAGCAGAATGATACGACCCGATCCTGGCTTTACGACCTTTGCCAAGTTATTGACTACAGCGACGGGGTCTGAAACTGAACACAATCCGAACGTCTGTATAACTGTATCGTATTTCGTCGTCGTGGGAGTCGCGGGACCGGGGATCGGGTGGTGAGCGTCGGAATGAATCAATCGGAGCTGGGAATCGAGATACGATAGTTGGCCTCCAGTGTAATCAGCCATGGTAGATGCGCGGACGATGGGAGCAGAGTCCTCCATGGGTGGAACAGTCTTGACGAGTCGCTTTCGAGCGACATCCATCATATCAACCGAAATATCGAGACCAGTAAACGATACGACGCCCTTTGGCAGTTTAACACCTGCCTTGCCCTCTGCGCGCAGAGTTAATGGCTCCCAGTTGAAGTACTCCAAGTTTCGCCCCGTGCCCATTGCCAACTCCAACACGTGTCCGTTCGCACGCTCCGCTATGCGCTTCCGTAGTTTCGTAATACCCATCCACCACTCAGGAAGAGCCAGCTCCTTGTCGAACTGTTCTGCATTGTCGCCATCGAGAGCCGGCGGTCGACCGGTCGGTGTGGAGTGTTCGCCGGCGCAACTGCAGGGCGCCGCTTTGAATGATGCGGCAGCTGTGCCAAATATGTAGAAGCCAAGGGCACCGGCGAGAAGAGCTGCGCCGGTCAGAGGGAGCCATGTAGATGCCCAGAGATCGCGGAGGGTTTCGGCTTGTGCAGGGGTTGCCGAAGTCGAGGAATTTGAGGGAGGAGGCTGAGGCTTTCTGGGCGTGCTGTATCAGTATAATCGATCTGACATCGTATATATAGAGGAGTCGTTACGGTTTGTAAGTTTTTGAGATCTTTGGTGGAGGGCGAGATGTTGGTGTTTTAATATTAGGACGGGGAGGTCGAGAAGTAGAGCTTGCAAAGCGGCACTGGGTACGGCAGGCTCTCGTGGCGAGGCCTCGAATCGGAGATATCATAATAAAAGCTTTTCCATGGAATTGAGGCGGTTCGTAGTGTCTTGAGGGTATCTGAATGGTGTGATTTTACATGTGGAAGCAGATAAAAATACCTAAAAGCTAAGACAAGGGTTTCGTGGAGTGGAGCGGATCCAGAGGTCGGGCTAGTGGGTCCGATCTCGCTAGGCATTCATCTCATTGCGGAGTGTTAACGGCTTCGTGAAGAGGACTTGCGACTTACAACAATATTGTTCTAATACTTGAATATTCAAGACAAGATCCATAATATCACAAATCACAAAGCTGTCCTTTGTTACTTATTGACTTCTCATACCCACTTTATGCAAGAAAAATATGGCCACGCAAAATGACCTCCAGGAACTTATACGCCTCCTCACGGCGCGTAAAATGTCCATGATGGCAGCAATGGGACAAGTGAAGGCTCTGCAATCAAAGAATCTGCGAAGGTATGACTTTTATAACTCTTCCAAAATCTGATACTAACGCGTACGACATAGTATAGCACAAATCGCAGATGCGCCTTTAGCCACAGTTGAGGAAGCTCTCGGTGGCGATGCGAAGGCAGCAAAGAGTCTTCATACAGCATGCAAGAACCATGAGAAGAAATCAGGGGCAAAGCGTGGAGCCGACGATGGTACAGCTCCCGCCGAAGTAAAGAAACCAAAGCTGGAGGCGCACAGACGAGATCTAGATTATGGCTCCATGTCTGGAGATGATCTCGAGGCTTCTCTCGAACTGCCACTAGAAGAAGAGGAAGAAGTCATTCGAAACACTACCATTCTGACGAACAGAGCACCTCTTTTCTTGGCCTTTGCTGTTGAGCTGTTGAGGTACACTATGCCAGAACAGCCCCTGAGCAGCCGATTGAGTCTGGCGCAAGCAGTTGTAAGTGCCAACTCACGAACAAAAGCCATCAGCATAGGTATCGAAAAGGCACCCCCAGGAGGTGAAGAGAAAGCCCCTGAAGGTCAACCGAAGATCACTATCATGAACCGACCAATTCCAGTTTTGAAGAGAAGCGGCTATACTTGGTCAGGATCTTCTCAACCAGCGTCATCCAACGCTTCATCAGTTACGCTCCAGGGGAGTCCACCAAATACAAGAGGCTGGACTGCAAGTCAGAAGTTGACTTCAAAGGGCTCGGTGTTTATAGCCCATGCTATACCTATATCATCACCTGCTAAACGCTCGGCGGTTTTCAAATCGCTGATGGCTGAGAAGCCGGAGCTGGAGACCGCAACTCACAATGCTTGGGCGATCCGGACTAGCTTTGGCAACTCACCCCTGAAGCAAGAAGCATCGTTTGACGACGGCGAGTCGGGTTGTGGAAACTTCTTACTCCAACAACTACGCGATCTCGATATCAGCAATACGTTGGTTGTGCTTACAAGATGGTATGGCGGCGTCATGCTTGGTCCGGACCGTTGGCGTCTCATGAAGGATTGTCTCAACGGCGCCCTATCATCTCAAAAGCGCACGTCTAGTTTAAATGGCGAGCCGGTATGGGCTCTTAACCTTGAAGACAAGAGCCCTTCAACGTCAACGGTTGGAATGCCGATACATCGACCAGAAGGTGCGCGAAACTACATCCTTCGAGCATTCGCGCCAGCAGATGACAGCGGAAAGAAGACTGTTACAGCAGCCAACGAGGAGAAGCAAGAGAACCTGGGCCGTGTGCTGGGTGCACTACGCTTGTTATTTGCCAGTTGGGCTGGTATTCTGAGCCATGATGAGTTAGATAAACGAGCTTGGACTTGGTATATGAATCTTCGACCAGATGTGGATGCTGGACCAGCGGGTTGGGGAGCGAAGGGGACGTTAAATCTGGGAAGGATATTGGATCTGAGGAGAAAGGAGATTTCGTGATGTACGTGTACAGTTGCTAAAGGATGATGAGTTGGTTGAGAGGACACGATGCTCTGACGGTAAGAGCTTAGAGTGTTTTGCACAACTGAAGGGCTTGGACCACCTCATTCAGCTTGATATGTATTGGCTGTACGGAGTAGCGGCGAAGGCATTCTTGTGAGCAGTACAAGTTAGTGTTGCTATGCTGTGCATTTCGGGTTGCTCTAGAGATGCAGCAAGCTTTAAATCTAGGGGATATGTCAGGCACTTATATCCGCGAGGTTGGGGAATCTCGTATTTAATATGTCCCCCTACCACTCCCTCTGCAGCATCGTATCTTCGTCCTTTATTATATTGCTTGTTCGCCGGTGCAGTTGATGAACATCTGTTGATACCCTACAAGGTAAGTCAACAACAATAGTAGTTGCTCGTTGTCATAGCATATACCATGATATCCCACGGCATATAGCATTGAAACCCGGACTCATATTTCACTATCTTTTAAAAAGAATCCTCTTACTACCTGTACATGCACTATCTTTTAGTCCCATTGAGTTCTTATTGTGTTGAATGTTTCCTATATTGGAGATGCTCCCTCTACCCTGGAGTCAACCGCGCTATGTCCTTAGAATTTAAGATCGATGCGGAATTGATATTGCTCACTACTATGCCGAGCTTATGAACCCGAGACCTGGGTTGTGTATCAGTTATTACACGATTTCCACAGGAGGAAAGAAGAAAATAAATCTCATACGTTGTTGAGAAGTTGTTCATATCATCGATTACTGGTGCTATCCTGGCTTTTCCTCAGACCCTCGAGTATCAGATTGGTCTGTCCTGACTTTTATCAACTTATCTCAATCAAACAGATACTTGCACTTCTCAATAACAAGATCTTTTTAACCTCTTATAGTCAACTTTGAAGCATGACGGTTACTAAAGTAACTCATGAGACCAGCATATGCAGCTCAATTGTCTCAGCAACCGGACACACAAACACGACGGGTTTAAACTTCGTAGGATTTAACACAAACTCCAAAGCTATAACTTCTATCGTGAATCTCTAATCTAATCCCTGAGTACTGCTTCTTGTGTTCCCGTCGTCGCCCGTTTCGGTTTAAATCAGCTGTATAATTGCCAATCATTTGTTGTCTTTCATCAATTCGCTAAGGCGCAGTGGCAGAGTGGTCTAATGCGATAGACTAGAAATCTATTCTCTTCGGAGGCGTCTGTTCGAATCAGGCCTGCGTCGAATTGATATTTTTGCTTCTGATGTGTCTGATATATACACATATGGTTTGTTTTAAATGAAGCAATCGTACGTAAATTTTTCTGTCCTATATATGCTGTTCAATTGACGATGTACTCTTTTTCTTGGCAACCAAGAAATATCATTGTTGCTGGGTGAATATATAACATCCGAGACTTTGACTTTCATAACCATAAGAGTATGTCAACTTGAGTCAAGACTTCTGAAATCGATATATCTATGACTTGGTGAAATTCCTCAATGGTATTCGTCCAATGAAAGCAAGTGACAGTTATGCTCCATGATTAATATCTCCTTCTGGTCATTCCGAAGAACGTCATGCTTTGAACACTCCCGAGACAGATACAGAGACAAAGACAAAGGAGAGAGAGACAAAGAGATTGGAACGTGACTAAGACGCGTATTATAGCAGCCTCAAATTGCCCGACTCCCCGAGACAACCATAGGAGATACAAGATGTAATCGAGCATGTGAATCACTCTCACCAATGGCTGATCAGAAGTCCAACGTGAGCAGTCGAGCTAGTTCCAAAGGATGCGCTATTGAATGACTTCAGCTGCTGTCGTGTTGCGATCGCTACAGGGGGTCCCTCTGAAGGTCCCTGGATTTTAGTGACATGACTTGTGAGAACCGCGCTGCCACTGCACTGAATGATGCGTCTACTAAGGTTGCATTGTTGACGCGCCAAACGAAACTAAACCAGTCCAATCCCATCTCGTCCAAAGTAAACACAAGACAAGGTAATTTCATTTCATCCTCCATCACGAAAGATCTCAGGGACTTTCAGGGACATTGTCCACAACGCCCGCCACAAACCCAAATCTCAGCAACGACGCCGCCATCAACATCACCATTTTGGCGATATTCATCAAGAATACGAATATTCGTAAATGCGCCCTTCAAAAATCCCTTGCATTGCTGGCGTTGAATCTTTTGCTGTCCCTGTTCATCTCTAGGTGTTCACTGTTAGTAGCTGGACCATATTTCTTCGTCCACGTCCCCCGCCTTGTTCTCTTCTTTCCTCCCCCACCATCGGCAGTAGAACCTCTTTTTCCAGGTCCAGGTCACCGACGAGCAAGGAGATAAAGACGGTAAGATAAGACATTTCTCTGCTGTCGGAGCAACTCGAGTCTGGACTTGTTCCACGTATTTCTCCATCTCATAACGATCGCATAACGAAACGAGACACCCACACCGATCCTTGTCGTACCTTGGCTTACTCTCTGACCTGTCCCACCGCATCTCGAGCTTGACCTTCAGCTAGCACCGTCAACGCCGCCGACGCAGTGTCTCTCGCTTAATTCCTCTCGAAGCGACTCGCGCGTTTCATCCTTTCTTCAATCCGATCCTCGACCTGCCTTTCCGTCTTCGCAAACAGGTACAGGGACATATCACCGACCATGGAGAACTACCAGAAGTTGGAAAAGATTGGTGAAGGTACGTGTACAGAGAAGCCTTGTGATGCTTGCCCTGAAATCTTCACGCCACAACCTTTGCCCTTCCGAAAATTCAACACTGACACTTTCCAGGTACCTACGGTGTCGTCTACAAAGCCCGGGACCTTGCCAATGGCGGTCGAATTGTCGCCCTGAAGAAGATCCGCCTCGAAGCTGAAGATGAGGGCGTCCCCAGTACCGCCATCCGCGAAATCTCTCTCCTGAAAGAGATGCGAGACCCCAACATTGTTCGTCTGTTCAACATCGTCCATGCCGATGGTCACAAGCTGTACCTTGTCTTCGAGTTTCTCGACCTCGATCTCAAGAAGTACATGGAGTCTCTCCCCGTGAGCGATGGCGGTCGAGGCAAGGCCCTGCCCGAGGGTTCATCGCCTCACTTGCAGCATCTTGGCCTGGGCGATATGGTTGTTCGAAAGTTCATGTTCCAGCTTTGCGACGGTATCAAGTACTGCCACTCCCACCGTGTCCTCCACCGCGATCTCAAGCCCCAGAACCTCCTGATCGACAAGGAGGGTAACCTCAAGCTCGCTGATTTCGGTCTTGCCCGTGCCTTTGGCGTGCCTCTGCGCACATACACCCACGAGGTCGTTACCCTTTGGTACCGAGCCCCTGAAATTCTCCTAGGAGGGCGTCAATACTCGACTGGTGTCGACATGTGGTCCGTTGGCTGTATCTTTGCCGAAATGTGTACAAGAAAGCCTCTTTTCCCCGGTGATTCTGAAATTGATGAGATCTTCAAGATCTTCCGGTAAGCATTAGGATTGTACAGAGTTTCGAGTTTTGACTTAGCTGACAATCAATTAGCATCCTCGGTACCCCCTCTGAAGAGAATTGGCCTGGCGTCACATCCTACCCTGACTTCAAGGCATCCTTCCCCAAGTGGCAACGCGACTACAGCAAGGACCTTTGCAAGGACCTCGACGCCCATGGACTTGAATTGCTCGAGATGTTGTTGGTGTACGACCCTGCTGGGCGTATTTCAGCTAAGGCTGCCTACAACCACCCTTACTTCGAGCCTCTCCTGGCACAGGAGCAAGCATCCGCTCAGACAAATGGCTACTATCACTAGATGGGATATGGAGCTCCATACCAGATGATGCAGATGCAGATGCACTAAACTTCCACCGCCAAATGACGAGCGGGACCAAGGTATTCTCTCCTTCCAGGATACTGTTGGCGCTTCTCCCGGGCCGAGGAGAAGATGACATTGATATGGCAACAGCAGCACTGCCCAAGCAACATTGCGCAGTGATTGTCACTTGAACGACAAACAGACATTGGCTCGCCTTGCCTGGTTTGGCCTCGTTTATTGCTTGGCCACTTACGAGGCTCACAAGTAATATTTATGATGACCAACAATATGCGTGACAAACTGAAGCTGTTGGGTTGAAAGCTGTTGGAGGTTGGGCCAATTCACGAGAGACAATGGTGTGAAGTTGATGTGGCAGAGCAGTTGAAAACCAACGGGTAAGCAACAGCCTGACTTTGAGGCGTTTGGAAGGCGAACGGAAAACATGATAAACTGGGTTCTCTCTTAGCAAGGGTGGCAGACTTTTTAATCGCGATGCTTTGGTCTTGGAATGTGCTTTGTAGATATATGGCTCAGCGTGCGGTTTGATATCCGGAGTTGCACACCAAGGCAGAACAATTGATGAATGACTATGACTGACTGTATATGCCATCATCCCCAGTGTTAGGACCATGCTGTGAGATCACTGTCACATCATCTAGAGGTTAGATACACACTAGAAGGCGAACAACGGTCACTTGGCGCTGATGCAAAGAAGCGAGAAGGATATCTGGGAGGAATTACAAACGGCCAATTTCGTAGCCCATCGTGACACAGCCCATTCCAATCCTCGGAAGAGTTTGAGGATATTTACCGACGACTCGGGAAGAACAGGGCCCGATATTAGTAGCCGGCCATTATGATGGACCACGATAACAATGGCATTGTATGTCTCTGATTAATTTATTGGTCTAAATCATCTTGGCAATCTTGCACTGCCACAGAAGAAATGAAAGGGCCACAATCTACATGAGATTCTACGGGCGTCTATTCAATGTAGAGGCATAACATAACATGACACATAGGCGCCCGTAGTTCGTCCGGCGGCCCAAACTAAAGAGCCGCCGGTACTACGATATATAATTCTATTCTAGTAACTTACTTACTTCTGCAGGATCATGTAAGCTACATGGCATGTTTGAACAATTAGCCGCCTGACAAGAATAGCGAGCAAGGGTATGTAGTGAAACCGGCGCTTGCAGCGTAAGCGCCTGACTGCGATAGGATAGATCCAATGTTAGAGTATCGTGTTTCAGCTGCAGTGAAAGATGTATCGAAAAGTTATGAAACGGCTCCTGATAATCATTGGGGCTATGTTGTATTCGTATACTATGTTAGTTATGTTGGAGTTGTTTTGTTGTTGGCATTGGGATGAATACGGGAGGCAGCCAAGAGAATAGACACTCTAGAGCCAATACATTGACGGCCTTGAATTTGGAGACCAAGCCTAGTAAACTCAACAGTATCAGCATCTTGACTCTTGGGAAGCCTCTTTAAGCTATGTCATTATGCATCAAGCTTGAATCC